CTCCTTGAGGGCTAGATACTTGAGGGCAGCCCTGTCTAACTGCCTGCAAGATATCTAATTAACTTACCTATCTGCAATAAATGTACTCTTGCCCTTGAGCATCACAGTATCATGGGATCATTGAGGCCTCAACTTGTGACTGGAGGTACACGGAGTTATGTTTCCTCATACCATAGCCAACTTGTGGGCAAGATAACACTGGGCCAAGACAGCTATAGTCATACTTTAATTATGAAATGATTTTCCCCAAAAACTATGTAGAATGGCTTCTGACACTAAACAGTACCCCATAGTTATTCCTACTTCCATTGTCTTAAGAGGGTATAAAAAACAAAAACCCAGGAAATCTCTGATGCTCCAGGTAAGAGCACATGTATGTTGGATCTCTATACCCGACCTTCCTGTCACCTCTACCCTACTCACACCTTATTACAGGTTCATAAGTATGTAGTACATGTCATAAATATAATTAAGATAACAGTAAACTCGGGGACAAACGTGTGTCGAGAGCCCCTAAAATGACCCTGTCAGTCATTCCTGTCAATCACACCCAGAGATGAAGGGAGAGGCACCTAAGCAGAGGTGCTCAGCCTTTAAATTCCAAAAGCCTGGTTTATTCATGTTTTTTGTTGCTCTGTTGCTGTTGTACTTTTGTGTGCTTTGACCTGTGTGCAGTGCTTTCCTGTCACTCGCACACTTTCTTCTGTCTGTGCCTTAGCTTATGGTGTCATGGATTTTGCCCCTTATAACGTCTCGTAATCTTCAATAAATGTAGCTGCTTGCTACTTACTACAGGGTTAACACTGGTCATTCTTTCTCATGGTACAGAAGAACCTGGACTAATATCAGCCTGTTTATCACAACAGTAAGACTCCCTAGAAGGAATCCCCAGTCCCCTGGTAACAGCCAGGTATGAGCGTTGTTGATTTGAGTTCAATTTTTATTAACCTAGTAGAAGTAGAATTGCACTTACAAGATTGAATAATGAGATATAATAACAATTTAATACTAAATGTACCTTTCTTTTTAAAATTTAGTTGGGGAGGGTAATTGAGACAAGGTCTTTCTATGTAACCCAGGCTGGCCTTGAAATTGTGATCCTCCTGCCTCAGCCTCCTAATTACTGGGATAACAAACATGCACCACCACATCCAGCTCAGCTTTAAATTTTTATTAGTCTATTTTTATTAGTATAATAGGTAGCTAAGTTAGATAGAAATTAATATACAGTCAGAGAGGAACTGGACTCTCAAGGAAGTCAGCAGGAAGAATAAAGACATCAGAATTGTGGCTGGAGGCAGATCTGAAGAAGACCAGGACTCAAGATAAGACTGTAATGGGGGCCGGGGATTTAGCTCATCGGTTCGGTGACCTGCCTTGCAAGGGCAAGGACCTAAGTTCAATCCCCGGTATCCAAAAAAAAAAAAAAAAAAAAGATAAGACTGTAATGACCTACATGCCTCCCTGAGGGAAAAGTAGTAACTTGGAATTATACCCACTTGGTACAGGAAGTCCAGATGAGTATCACTTGCCAAGGTGGATGACCACAGCATTTGGACCCATCCTTTGCCAAAAATGCCTTTGTTCTTTCTATGCACCATTGCTATGTGACTTGCTTCATTATTGATCAATATTATCTGAGCAGCTATACTTGTAATACTATAGGTTGATAATAGTCTGACCCACGTTGTACCCACACTGTGACTGAGATGTAAATTATCCCTGACAAAGTGCCTTGGTGGCAACCTGTTTCTGGGACCCCTTCTGTCTCTCAGGAGTGATCTCTCAATAAACATTCCCTACTTTTACCCTCCTTTGTTTTTTGGAATTCATTCTGATTCAAGGGACATGAACTTGGCACTTCTGACATCCAGTAGGTTGGAAATTATTTTCTCCTGTATCAGTTATAGGGAACAGAAAAGGGATGTCTGCTACAATCAGTAGTACATAATGATTATATGCACTGTGGGGAGTTGGTACATATGCAATAGGCAGTTCAAATTTCCAAACAAACAGCAATGCAAGGTAGGTCCCTAGGTGGGTGGGGGCTGTAGCACGGCATCAAGAAGTATAATTCTTACTCTACACTTAGTCATGCCAATTGAACGAGTTACTTAACCTCTCTGAACCTCTGTAAAGTGGTGATAAAACGGCCCTTTTGGACAAGAAAGTGCTTATAAACTGTGGCTCACAATAGAGCAAGGGAGTTTTCTTCTTACCCAAGTTCAGGGAGACATTGACAAAGAACATGTTAGGGACAATGACTACTTGCTTTTTCATTGATGACGTTGGAGCTCACATATGTGGGCCTTGTGCTGGGTGTTGTTTGTCCCCATTGTGCAAATGGATTTTGTTCACCTCAGCCCTCCCTCTCAGCTCCCCTGTTGCTACAGATCAGAGGCAGAGAGAGCAGGAAGGACATAGAGCACCGACTCTGTGTGGACAGCAAGGAATTGTACTTACATCACACAGGTCAAGGTTAAGCACATTTCCAAAGTGCAGACATGTTTGTGTCCCCTCAACTAAGTAAACTGGGTGACATGATATTGAAGGCAGTGGAGTCCTCAGAGACCAGATCACTGTGGAAGAATATATTACCCAGGAGGCCGGGAAAAAGACAATGTAGACACAGGTGCCGGCGTTGAAACTAGCATATCAGAAGCCTAAACAACTTTCCAGGGGGCCGGGGATTTAGCTCAGTGGTTCTGCTGCCTGTCTCCTAAGAGCAAGGACCCTGTCTCCTAAGTGCAAGGACCCGAGTTGGACCCCCCAATACCAGAAAAAATAAAATAAAATAAAATAAACAACTTCCCAGGAATGCTCAGAGATATCTTTGGTTTCTGTTCTTCTCATACCCCACTTTACTGGTAATCAACTTATTTAATCTAAACATATGACATTCTCTTGACTCGGTGATTCACAACATTAGGATCCAAGCTCTGACTTTTACAAAGTTCCTCTTGAACTTTCTCCACAGTTGCATGAGGTAGTTGTTGCTATCCCTTTACACAAGGTCAAGTAACATGCTCAGTCACGTATACAGTAAGTGACTGTACACAACTATGTTCAAATCTGTTTTCCTGATACTTTCTCTCCTACATTGCTGGTTTTAAGCGTCCTGTACCCCTAACTTTCACAAACCTAATATGAATGCATATGTTTATTGGGCTGTAGGAATTCTGGGCTATTTTTCTGCCTGGCAACACCTAGATGCACAGAATTTCCAAGACAGAAAGGGACTGGAGGCATTTAATCCAATTTATTTTGCAAATAGCCTGAAGCCAAGAGAAGGGAATACATTTTGATGTCTCAGTGCCCATATTTTCTATTCTTACTCTTTGCCCCATCGCACTCCACCACCTACCCTGGCCCTGGATGAGCCAGGTCTCCTTTTGTCTTAGCAACACCTTTAGCAAAAATAATAGCCACTCTGCTGAGCTGTCCTTCAATCAATACTGACTTCTATGCTCCAAGAAGTATTAAGAGGTACTGCGAATAAGGCGAAGGAATTTGTCCCTGGCCTTTTGGAGCTTAAGTGGTATGAGGTAGGGCATAAGCCAGTGAGAATTATCTAAACACGATAATTTTAGATATTAGGAAAGAAATAAAGCAGGGAAAGGACCGGATGGTCAGGAAAAGCCTTATGAACCGGTACATGAATCTTTAATTCTCACAGCAACTCTCAGAGGGGGTTTTGCTGACAAGGAAACTGCTGATGGCAGGCGTCAGGACACACAGACAGACCCAGACACCTAACCTCACTTCCTTTCCACCACCGCTGTAGAGCTGCCAGTGCCACCACTCTGCTCTGGATGATGAAACCCTGGGCGAAGACTACACCATCTCACAGCCCGTGTTCTTGCAAGTGATGCGAGGTGAGGGTGGAGAGAGGCAGGATGCGTCTCCAGGGGCAAACTGCCAACACTTCTAAATTGCAAAGGCAGAGAGGACAGCCCGGCCTGGCCTGTATACGACAGCCATTAGGCCCCCTAGCTCCTCTCCAGGTCTCCCATCCTCTCAGCCTGGACAAAGAGCCCGCCGGGCCCCAGCCGAGCCGAAGGAGCGCGCCCGCCTCCTGCCCGGCCCCCGTCGGTCAGCGCGGTCATCATGGGACTTGTAGTCCAACTGGCCCTTTGCCGCAGCTGCAAACTAGCCAGAGGACTACAAGGCCCAAGAGGGGGCGCGCGGTCTGGGCGGAGCCGCGAAGGTGGGTGTGCGGGGTGGCGGTGCTGGTCAGGACCTCTCCAGACTAGCTTGGCCGGTCCCAGTCAGTGTGCACCCTTGGTTCTTGGTGCGACGGGGTCGAGGCGAACGGTCCCCGCCGCC